ATCTTTTGGTGGCATTTCCCACAGTCAACTCTTACGACAGCCGCGGGACAAAATGGGCTGATGAATCATCTTACGTCTCTACCAAACGGCAAGTGTGGAAGATAGCTATGTGCAAGTGCGCAGTTTTAGTGAAATTGTTCAAATTTAAAGTGTGAAATTTAAAGTTGGTTAAATATTGAAAGCACTTTAACCAAAATTTAAGTGATTTTTTTAACCCAGACTGTTTCTCGTATAATTTAAATGATTTCAAGTCACTTATTTAATTCTTCACCAAACATTTTTATAGCATAGAGTAACAAGCGAGCACACAATCCACCTGATGGTCCATTACAGCCCTTCACAAGTCCACTGCTGAACATATGCCTCCCCCAAGGAATGCCACAAAGCACGGTCCTGAGCCACCTGCATATCTTACCAGGTCTTCACTCCATCTAGTGAGGGGACGCCCAACACTTCGCCTGCCGGTACGAGGCTGCCACTCGAGAACCTTTTTTCCACATTGGTTGTCGGTTCTTCGAGCTATATGGCCGGCCCATAGCCACTTCAGCTTACTAATCCGTTGGGCTATGTCGGTTACTCTGGTTCTACTGCGGATATCCTCATTTCTGAGTTTATCACGCAGAGAAACTCCGAGCATAGCCCTCTCCATAGCTCGCTGAGCGATCTTGAGCTTCCTCATCCGGCTAGCAGTGAAGGACCACGTCTCAGTTCCCTATGTCATCACTGGCACCACGCACTAGTTGTACAGTATCGTTTTCAAGTTTTGAGGTATACCTGAAGAGAAGATGTGCCGTAATTTCCCGAACGCTGCCCAACCGAGTTGAATCCGTCGATTGAGCTCTCGGTCGAAGTTGGACTTATCTAGTCGGACTATTTGTCCCAGGTAAACATACTCGTCAACAATTTCGAGCTTAGTGCTCCCAACAACTACCGGCATAGGTGTGACATGGACATTAAACATGAGTTTTTTGAGTTTTTCCTTGTTTAGTAAGGAATTTAGTCACCGCACGGTAAAGTTACAGCCTATATACGTCCCACTGCTGGGCACAGGCCTCCTCTCATTTCTGAAAGGGTTTAAGGGCCAGGAAGTGTCCACCGCGCTGCCCCAATGCGTGTTGGCGAACTTCACATGTCTTCGAAAATATTTTTTTTTCTCAGACATGCAGGTTTCCTCACAATGTTTTCCTTCACCGCCGAGCACGTGGTAAATTGCAGTTAAAATTGCAATTAACAATTTCATTGGTACCGGCGGGGACTGAACACGGGTTACTCGCGTATTGTGAAATTTACCGCGAGCGCTAACCATCTGAGCTACTACGGCTCCGCACGGTCACCACACGGTGTTTGATTTTTTTCAACATTGTCAAGTATATTATAACAGTGGTAGAGCCACGCGGCAGCTGTTGCTGTCGCACGGATGGGCCGACTCGAACCGGGGTGCTACCACGACCTTACAGAAAACCAGCGTGAAGTAGAGGTTTACCTCTGCGTTTCGCTTGGTGAGTGCAGGTGGCCGGAGGCCCTTTTTACTGGAAATGAGGCATTCCATCTCAGTCCTCACGGGTGACAACGTATCTACATTTTGATTTGTAATAAAGGATAGATGTAGATGTCTATGGGCCGCAGCAACCACTTTCCATCAGGTGGACTGTGTGCTCGTTTGTCACCCTTATTCTATAAAAAAAGTCAGTCATTCCCGTCGCCTAGACTGAAGGTTAAAAAGAATTAATGATATTATCAAGACGAAATTTCATAACTATACCCTCAGGTAGTGTCGTTAGTTAATTATTTTTTAATTGCCCAGATTATTTGCAAATCACCCTAATACCGAGAATAGATTGAACGCCCATCGTATCAGCATTAAGATCCATCAATTCGGAATATAGTGAAGGCACTGTTGTCCACCTGAATACAAATTGCAGGCAAAAAGACTATTAAAGAAAAAACTTTAAGCAACGAGAATTTTTCCGACTTTGTAATTATTTCATAAAACTTTTAAAATAACAGTAATGAATTCATACTCCTCCTTCCTCGTTTTCCCTTACAACATCCTAGAGTCGTCTAGGAATGCAGACAAATACTGATATGACGAGTATTATAACATACAAGGTAATGGTTTAAGATTGCGCAGTAACTATTTAGAACTTCCTTCTGATGACAGAATAAATAGGCTGCAGTAGCTCAGAGGCTAAACGCTCGCCGTAAACTTTAAAGTATGAACAACCAGGCTTCGATTCCCACCGCCAACAGAAATTGCAGTGACTTATTACATTCTCCGCGGTAAAGAAAACAATCGAGAGGTAGGCTCCATTGGCATGCATGCAATACTTTGTTCCGGTCTCCGGTATAGAGAGCCAGTATAATATAATAATACGGGCTGTGGGGCATTCCATCTTAAGCCTGAGAGGTAACAAGCCTGGCCTTCTTTATTTGAAGTTGGCTACAGGCGTCTATGAACATCTACCTGATGCATAGTGGCAACTGCACTGTAAGTTGACTATAAGTGTGATGGTCACTTCAGTTTATTAAAAAAAAATATGCAAATATGTTTAATATTATATTTAAGAAATAGTTATATTTCAAAAAGTAAAAGGTGAATATAAAAACAACGTATATTTAATCATATCGCTAATCCTCTTCGTATAGTTAACACGACCTACAAATCATATGTTACATCTAAGACTGATATATAATTGGTCTATCCATTGACCTTTAATATATTCCGACAGTCAAAATTCTGGAAAAAAACTAATAATTATCATGTCATAAATCATGTTTAATATTTTATTGAAGATGGTTGCTGAGGCCGCTACTGAAGGCCTCTAAAACCAGTTTCGTTGTTTTAAATATCAACGCCTATTATTACCTCCACTCCTGCGTCAATAGGTCAGCCGGATCAGGTAGAATGCCAAGCGCGGTCACGTATTCTTAGAAGCCTTCTAATTCTATTAGGCATGTACATATAAAGTATTACAACGGGGAATGAGCACGGCTTAGATGAAAAATGCGAAATATCATTTTTACAGTTAAACCAATAAACAGCAGCTTTTAAAAAGTAAAAAAACAAAACGTTTACAGTGTATCATAAGAATTTAATAAAACAAAAAAAAAACTTTAAATAAAAAGTAAATACTGACTTTAAAAAACTAAAAAGAGTAAAATAATTTTCACAATAATTTTCAGCTTCTGGATTCGGTGCTAAGACAAAGTGTATAGAAGAATAAATACCCCAACTTTAGATGACGTAGAAATTATTTCATTATCTTTAGCTTTTGTAGTTGGTTTTCATTTTGCAATAAAAAAAATTACCCTTTTAAGAGGACTAACTAATTTCACAAGTTCAAGACACTACAATTTTGACTCAATAGTTACATTACAAACTTAATGCCTTATTTTTCGTTGCAATTTTTTCTTCAATTTATAATGGACCACCCCGGAAGTATAAATAAGAGTATTTCCTATTTAATAAAAAAAATAATCATTTTAATTGGTTGAGCCTTTTCCGAGAAAGGTGAACATACAAAAGGTAAACACATCCGTCGAATATAGAATCTCTTCCTTTTTAAAGTGGGTGAAAATATAGCGTCTTTTTAAAACTTCTTTATTATTAAATCGAGTCCTAAAGCATCTTCAAAAATGAGTAAGTTATTAATTCGACCATACTTTTAATTAAATCCATACACATCTCTATGCTAAGTTGAGAAATTAAGCTATTTGTTTTATTTTGAAATAGACTATACATCCACAGTAGGCCCATTTATATTTCATTTAGATCCTATGATAATAAATGTATGTAAGGAATATAACTTTGTTAGTTGAATTATTTCCGTGCAGAATAGTTCAACGCCTTGTATTATGTGAATGTGATATGTGATGAGATGAATAGGTGTGTATACTTTATTTGTCAAAGTTAAAAGTTAAAGTGAAAATTTAAAGTTATATAAATTGTAACAACGCCATCTATTAAACCTTAATAAAATTAATAAGTATGTGACTCAACATAATACAGAAATGATGAAAATCCAATAATTTGAAACCTGTTTTCATTCCATTGGTTTGTTACAAAAATTAAACATTTATCCGATAGATGGAGACATAAAATAATAATGAAACTATATAACACTTTTAAAGAAGGAGCTCCTTAAAATAATAAAATAATATTTTAATTACAAATCGTGATAGAGATTAAATTTTTGCCTGCAACAGCAACAAATTTCTAAAAGTAATTATTAAATGCCGTGAAGCGTCGGCGAAAGAGAAACCATATTATATATCAGCCCCTGGGTGTCGGATGAGACAACAGAGCGAAATGAAACAGGATATGGGCCGCAGTATTTTCCTGATAATACCTCATTACAAAAAAACTATGGTTGCCAACTCGCCTGCCTCGCCTGAAAAATGTATATCCTTCCAGGCAAGCTATGGACTTTGTTCAGCTGCGAACTTGGATAGGTGATATGTGAAATAATCATTAAATTTTCAACGATACCATAAGACCCTCAACATATGAAGTTTGGTAAGCAAATATATACTACCTGAGTATGTTATATCTTTAATGTGAAAGTAAATTTACCACGGAAGAATAGCAAAAAAATATTCCATCATATTTATCTTTGTAATTAATATGAAAACACAAGATAAATCATGCCAAATGAAGGTTCATAGTCACTGTCTACCCCTCTGGGTGACAGACGGTTTGTGCTTGTGTGTTTATGTTTATGAAAACAGATGGTTTTCAGTTAAATCTGAAATAGTGGTATTAGGTAAAGGTAATTAGCGACTTCCATAAAATACAATGGTATATTTCACTAAGGGAAAAGTAAAAGACCTAAATTCATTAAAAGAATTTACATTTATCATAAAATAAACTTTAAATACACAAATTCGTTATAAAAATTATAGGTAAAAAGTACAAATTATGTAGCGCTATAACACACAGTGAACAGTGCTATTTCATCACGTTATTTATTCTAGGTTCTAATTAGATAAATGCCTAGAAATCATTTTCGGCGATTTTCAGGTTGAGGAGGGGCAGTAGCGAGGTAGTCAAGGGCGCGCTGGATAGCGGCGGGGATTGGGGGAGAAGTTGGAAGATGAGCACCTTGAGGCTGGAATCCGTTTTCATTGGCAACATAGCTCAACTGAATATTACCACCTTCTTCACTTGGGTACTGGAATTGACCCTGAACTTGTAAAGCTGGCTCTTCGGCGCCGATATTCTTTAATGCTCCTGTCTCGTCAGCAGAAATACCATTTCCAGTCTCGTAGGAAAACTGATAAGAGCCGTCAGGGTTAATCTGACTGTCTTGACGCACTATTGGGATTGGCTCTGTGGGTCCTTGGGGTGCAGCGGTGGCAATAGCCAGGAGCGACAAAGCAATCTGAAAGCAAAATTTAAAAAATCATAAAATATCTAAAACATTATATATTTCAAATATTTGAGATACTATAAAAGCACGGCTTTTAACTGAAGATAATTTTTGGAAGTGTTTATTAGTTGCAAAGAAATATATTTTAAATAAAATATTTTTAAACTATAACCACTTAAGCACAATTTCTTCAAGTTTACTTTAAGCACATAATACAAACACTGACACTTACAATGGTTTTCATGTTGGTAGTAAAATGTCGGTGGTGGCACTAGACAATGTTGGTCTCAGATTGCCATATCGGTATATATACGAGTACGTAACTACGTTGCCTACCACCACTGGGTGGTATTGCACCATATGACGCGTAATAATAAATCGACAAATATATGTGCAAGCTTACGTTTTGCAAAGAGTAATGCTGTATCATGACATTATCAATAACTTTTTGATATTTTAAACTCTAAAATAAATATATGTATATCATAAATATATTTAATTTTATAGTTTTAAGAAATTATTTTTTCGGTTATATTTCTCACTTATACATAATAAATATAAAGAGATTTAATTATGAAGAGAAATCAGTGAATTATATGTTTGTAATGAGTAAATATTGTAATACGAAATATATTTGATATATTTTTAAAAAATGTGTGTAGGTTACACACATTTTTTACCTTTTTAAAGTTTATTATAATTATTTTTAGTAGTATTATTTTTTCTAATGGCTTCCTGTTCACTAACTTGTTTTTTTCAGCATTGCAAATGATTCAACTACTCTTTCTTATCTGATAGATAAATTCCAGTATCATTCTTTTTCTCAAGATAAGGATCTTTTTCCTCATCCAATACGTGTTGAGAATTCCTAAACAAATCACCAACTCGGTTGGTAAATCTTTCACCGTTCCAGCTACTCTGCGCTTAAGCTCTTTGCCCGAAAAGCTTAAAAAAGCTCTTAATAAGTTCAAATTGAAAAGTTGGTGCGCGAATACTTTTTAAAGACATCGGGATGAGCTAATATGGATTATGAACTAAGTTTGTATTTTTGTATGTCTCACATATATATATATATATATATATATATATATATGTTGTATATATTCATAGTAAACTACGTACTATTGACCGCATATCGGCGGTTTGAGCATAACCTCTACCCTATATTGTCCCGTTGGTGTTGTAAGAAACGACAGACAGAAACAAACCTGCGATAGCCAGCCCACCTTTCAAGCGTATAAACTGGCAAATATTCCAATCAATCCTTAGAGGAAACCTATGTTCTGGAATTGACCTTTAATATACTGCAACGGTTTTGATTCTGTAATATTTCTATTTATCTGCTGACTTCCAAAAAGGAGATGTACTCAATTCGACTGTATTTTTATTGTTTTTTTATGTGTGTTACCTCATAACTCTGTACTGGGTGAACCGATTTCGATGATTCTTTTTTTATATGAAAGCTGATAGTTCTCTTGTGGTCCCATATGAATTTGATCAAGGTCAGACCAATAGTTTTTTAGTTATTCTTAAATAACTTATATTGAAGTCGGCTGTACAAAAATTTTAATTTTAAATTATGTATTAAAATATTGTTATATTATTTTCAAATACATATTAAGAACTATCTATGCAAACAAGGCTTTACCTTTTGAGTTATAAGAAAGTGATCATTATCTCACTACACCTCGGTTTAACTGGGTGAGAATACCTAAAGGCATTATCATATATTATCTGCCCTTTTTATCTTGTTTCTTAACGTGTAAACAATAAAGTTTAAATAAATAAATCAATAAAGTAAAAATATTTTATACTCATTAAAATCCTCTTGTATCAAAATAAATCAAAATGGAAAATATAATGAAATATATCCGTCAAGAATGATGTAGATATGGCCGTCAAGAATGTATGTATGATAAATGTAAATAATATTTATCATACATATTTTTATGTATGTATATATATATATATATATATATATTATATATTTATTATAATAACGAAACATACACAGACAATCAATAAAAGACCTTTTAATACACGACTTTAATGACATACAACTTCTATAATTTATTTTCGCAAAAATTTGTCTACATTGAAATATTGATAATATTTATCAAAGTCAAATAAACAACGCAAGAACAGAAAATATGTTTCCTGAATTGAAATATACTTTTTATGATATGTAAACAAGAATTTCGTCAACTTGATTTTCAAATACCGAATACCGAATATTGCAGACTTGATATGAAAACATCAAACCATCATCTAAATACTATGCTTACATCTATTCACGTATTTTTTATTCGATTAATGCAACATTCATATTATCATATAAACGTATGATTATATTGTAATCTAACAAGAAAGGTCGAAATTAACAAGTGTAGGTAAAACACGCGAACGTTGATTGAACACTATAACTATAATTCCGACAGTTACAAATTGTTTCATAATTTTGATGCCAGGACTTTGTTAAAATGAAATTTTATTTTAACAGTATTTGTGTCAAAGACATAAAATAATGAAAACACATTAAACTTTGAAGAAATTTCCTTGCTTTGGACTACGACTGAATATTTGTATAAAAATATGAATAATCCCCGTTCTTATAATGTATATTGGCTTTTCTCTCATGTCTGGAATGTTATACTAAACGTTTATGTCTTAAGACGTAATTGCGGCGGTCAATGAATAGTAAGCCTACATTTATAAATACCGTGATTTTATATGTGCCTACATAGTCTATATATTCAGATGTGTATGGTTTATCAGAAATTGTGTACATCGCATCAATCTCATTCTCTTAGTATGCAAGCAACCCCCGTATTCAATCCTGACACACACTATTGAAATTTTTGGTTTCACTAAATAAAGGCTACTAATTACCATGTAATTAGCGATGAAGGAAAACATCTTGAGGAAGTCTTCGTAATTGGAAAAGTAAAAACATTTCGAGGACATAATGATTTCTTATATTTACGCGAACACTACACATTTAAATAAAACTAATTTTACGGATTTTATCGCGTATATTAACTTATTTACCCCCCGTGACCATGGGTGCTGTAAAGTGCTTGAAACGTCGGGAAAGTAAAATAAGTTAATATACGCGATAAAATCCGTAAAATTAGTTTTATTTAAATTTCGAGGACATGTCAAGTCCGACAACAAGCTTCTCTTTTCCGCTTCGAAACTCTCTCGGAAATAAGAGAATGCCTATGATTTGTTGTAAGACGTATTCAAGCTCTGAATATGATTCTAATGCAATAAAGATAAGGAACTAATAAAAGGTCTTTCAATGAAGAATCTCAAGGTCGATAGCTAGCTATGACCTTCTCCAACATGTTCAAGTTTTCTCTGCACAGTGGAACTAGAATATCCAATACAGTCTAACTGATCAGTAAGTTAAAGTAATAATGTACTGAAAAAAATGTTCTCGAGAAGTTTGTACTTCCACCTCAGCATATCATGTGTGTAACGTACATGACCGTGCTTTGTGACAGTTTTTAGGGGACGCCTATAGTAATAACGCAACGTAGTGATATTGATGATGACAGCCTTTACACAAATATTAAAATGTCAAAAACCCTACACCATATGAGTGAGTCTTAAGATAGTCATATTGTTTTGTCATCTAAAATTTCCAAAATAAACTCAAACCAGTAACTTTCATTCCAATACATCTATAGTATACATTACAATATCTTAATTATAGATAAAATTGTACATAAATTTGGCAGTTAAAATCGTGTCAGTATTTTTTGACAAACTGCTATATTATATAAAATTCGAATAAAAGCATTAAAATAAAAATATTGTAGCATATTAAAATTAAAGGCTACTAAAAACTAAAGAAAATGCATCACTCCATTCGTCCATTACGGGAAATAAAAGACTTATGAACTTATGACTTCCTAGAGTCCGTCAAAAACTCTGAGCTTAGTACGTCAACATCATCATGGGGATGATAAAGATTATGACATACCTCATCAAGCATATCTAAGACTCCTAAGACTTCTAAGACAGAAGATTTCCTTATGCCGTTACCATACAGTAGCTAGGTTGGTTCTGTATGGTAGCGGCATAAGGAAATCAAACGTCCCATCTATGACGTATCAGGCGACCAGACGCGAGGCAAATAGATTTTTGGGTCTCCGAGAGATGGTTCTCAAAAACTTCCAGTGTAGTACGTTAAGATTAAGGTTACTGATAATAGTGCTAAAATATTTGAACGATTCTGCCATTGCAGTTTTCCCACAGGTAACGTAAGTGTAGACTAAAGATCTTTTTGGCTTTCGATTGATAGCGATATAACTATCTCGTTTACGCCAACCGTAAAATATCGAGAATTTTTACGCGGTAGAGCCATGCTGCAGCTATATTAGAAGTATAGTTGTAGCACGAATGGGTCGGCTCGACCGGGTAAGGACCACTCTCTCACAGAATACCAGCGTAAAATAGCAGCTTAACACTGCTGAGTTTCATATGGTGAGTGTAGAGAACCGGAGAGCCTTTTTACTGGAAAAGAGGCATTCTATCTTAGTCCTCACGGGTGACAACGCATCTGCATTTTGATTCGCAAACGAGGATGTAGATGTCTATGGGCCACAGCAACCACTTACCATCAGGTGGACTGTGTGCCCGTTTGTCACCCTATCCTATAAAAAAATAGTGATAGGAAGCAGTGGCAAAAGTGCGAGACGTCTGGTACAGCATTAACCAATTCACCTGCCAAACGTGGCATTTATGAGAAATAAAACGTTTTTAAAACAAATTAATAAGTAATAAAAACATCCTCCATAGAACGGGAGATACTCATACCCAACAGTAGATTTTACGAACTAAAAGTAAGAAGAAAGAAAAAGGTACTAAATATGTATAAGAGATACGACAATAATAGAGAATATAGAATCATATACGATTATTTACTATCATAAACGTAATTCTTTCCTCAGAAAACAATTACTTCTTTAGCTTTTAGGTTGTAATTTTGTAACTTTATCTCTACAACCTTCAACTTTCAATTAGCACCGTGAAGTTTCTTTAGACAAACGTGTGTATTTCGTTATTGAAATTGTATTTAATGAAAAGAATATTTGTATTCGATGAAGCTTAGTTTCACAATCAAATTATGGTTATATATACATATGCAGAATAAATCTTTCTTGAGACGTTGAAGTCTTTTTAACCAATTCAGCTCACCGTGAATTTTATTTCTTTATAAAAGTTTTTTATATCGTA